AGTCGTAAGGAAGAAAGGGAATTATAGCGTTTCCACACATTACAGGGTGTTCTTATTTTGATTATTAGTGAACAACACATTGATTGCGGCCAGTTGAAGTCTAATCAAAGGAACGTGTGCATGTGAGTATAGAAAAGTTTAACTACAGAGGGCAATATTTATCATTTTGTTTGCATGAACGTTTTATTGATGCTTTACCTGTATTGGCGGACACTCGCAAAAAAGGTGTCCATTTAGCACTGGTAATAGCTGGAATGACACAGAAAATACGTTAGTGTTCTTACATTTCCACATAGACGACCCAAGGATGTCAGGATTCTATATGAATAATTATAAAATTAAAACATAGGAATAAGCGCATATATAGTGTTTTCTACTGTAGAATTTAACATGTATTAAATTGTAAATAAAGAGCATCCTGCCAGCCGCGTCCATCTGTTTACCTGTAGACAAAACGAAGCCTAATAAATAACGAGTACGAAATGAAATCGTAGACGTTGACTTTCAGGAAACAACCCTTAATCTCAATGCAAAGCCGATCTAGCCATTTCCTTAAAGATGACATGAGCTACCTAGTCTTTTCGTTTTTTTCTTTTTATTAAATAAAGATTATACTTATGAAGTGCTATTCCGGCGATCTATTATTCGTATAGAAGCAAATCAACCATCGCTCAATATAGCGCGCCTCATAAACAGCAGCAGGATCATCATCATTACGGCCATCAACATTATCGTCGTCACAATCGCTGCTAGCGCTATTGCCAATTCAATTGCTTTTAGTATGTTTCCAGCTTTTCTTTGATAAACATATGTACAGATGGCATAATCTTTAAATCCGAAGGCATGTATATGTTTTAGAAACGATCCGAGAATTTTCAAAGGCCAACTATTATTGTGTTAAGCCAACTATTCGGCCCGCTCAGAACGATTCCCGCCGTTCATGCCACCGTTCCATCAAGTATCTCCCCTTCATTCTTGGTTTTCGCTGAACTTTCGTTGTCTTATGGCGTTTCATAGAAGAACGGTTACATTGTAAATGTACGACGCATTCGTCACATGCTGGGGTAAAGGCGAAAGAGCGCTAATCGCCGTTATTCCAGTTGGCGATGAGGCTGCCACTCTGCGCCTTTATGACGGAAGGATCTCGAAACAGGACGACAACAGTCATAATAATAAAAATCAGATGAGGAAAAACATGAGTCTTCGCGCATAAGTATCTGCATGCCGCTGGCAGGCATTCGTTTCGCACCTGATCACACATGCATTCGGCATCGTGCTGATACATACATGCTGACGATATCCGGGAGGAGGACGAGGGGGGTGTAGTTCGTTTTTTGTCGCCGCATGCGCATAAGGGAAATTGCTGTGGAAAATTAGAAAAAAAGAACAAAGCGTACACGTGTACAAAGCAGGAAAGATAATGATCCTCTGTGCTCGAAAATATGCCCTGTCACGGAACGTGGACGTAGGACAGTGGATGTTATGTATTTGATGCAGATCCTTCCAGTTTCAGTACCGCTTCCACCTGTTCCACCGATGCTACTATTGACGACAGCGTTAATAGTAACTACCATTGTCGTTACTGGATATATGTGCGTATCTCTACTGTCTCTGAACTAATGAGTGGCCGGGCTGCGGGGAGATTTGAGGGCATAATAGAATAATGGTTTGACCGAGTGAGTGATCTCACTGGCAGGGTTTAGGTCTGCGGCTAACAATGGGAGGAGCGCTGGCGATGGGCGATGCCTCCGGCTTTGTGGCCTTCCGGTTATGTTTAATCTAATGCGCTCGCTGCACAAGTCAGACGAACAATGTGTGGAATTCAAGCACGACGTCGCTTACGTCCTCTCTCGGGATGCAGGGTCCGCCAGGCCTGGACGCACGGACGGTCATATGAACGAAAGCAAAGCATAGATCATAATGCTGGTTTTGTGTTGATGAATACTGACGGGCTATATTAAACAGCAACTTAAACTGCTATCAGTAGCGTTTTGTCATACGATTTATTTTGGTCACCGCCGAGTTGCTAAAGCGAGACTAGACTTCCTAGGCGTACGTGTAAATTATTGTCAGAACGAAATTACTTTACAGTCAGTGAGGAAGCTAGTGCCGTTTGTGTTGACATTGTTGCCCTTACTTATTAATGGCAAATTTTGGACCGACACTTTAAATATCCTTGTTTGAAGTTGAAGAGTGCTTCTAGACGGCGGATACAACACGTGTTCAGCTTTAATGCGCAGGGACCGTCTTCGACTTAGACAGGGGGCGGGGGTAGCAGACCGTTTTATTTGTTTTCTTCATTTTAATAACTGTTTACAGTTTATTTGAACACCTCTGTTTGATTTAACTATTTTCCAATGTGTTCTTCTCCCAATCGGTGGATCGTAACAAGTGCAACTATATACTCATTTGCGAACTACGAAAAAACCAACTGATATAGATGCCTTGCTTCTGCCGACAGAATGAACGGTGCAATTTTTGGTTTTTCGAACCCACCAAGACCGAATAGCCACTTCCTTAGCTTGGATGACTTCGCGACAATGATGAAATCATTGTTGTTCGTGGTATTGGCGTTCTATCCTGTTGTCTTCCCACGATTCTCCGTCTGTGTGCGCCGGTGCTTGCGCGACTAAAAAAATAACGCTAGGAGCTCAACCGTCGCCGTCACCGCCGCACAGCCGCAAAACGTACAGCGTATTGGGTCAAGATGTAGATTCTAGTGACGGCGCTATGAGCAAACGATAGTTTACCGTCTGCTTCATCGTACAAAACAAATGGGCAACTTTTGTTGATTAACTTCGTATCCAGGTGCATCCAGATCGTTAAAGATCTATTCAAAAAGAAGACCTTCCTCTTTACGCCTCGGTCTTTTTTTATTCAAGTACATCCACGTTACAACATTGGTAGCTCGATAAGCCAATTGGATAATTCATTTCTATATTTCATCCTGTGCATTATTAGCGTTGTTAATAATATGCCTGCCGTTGGTGTTGCTTACGGAAAGGATTACTGAAGCGGAAAGTTGCCCCTGAAGATGGCGTTACTAATGTTACGTCGAAATAGAAGGATTCTATTTTTTTTTTTTTTTACCGGGCTCTAGATGTCCATGATTTATTTATCGCTGTTGATGAATGTTGGTCTTACCGATCGACGGCTATCTGTAAAACGTCGTTGAGCTACTCGAACACGTATCGTCTTGACCTGAACCAATTGGTTCGAAATTTCTAGAAAATATCTAATTTGCATCAGTTTTTATAACGATAGTACACGCCTCCATCATACCTTTTTGCCCTCCTTATGGGTTACACCGACGCTGTTCTTGCCTTTTCATCTAATTCTAATTTAATTTAAGCTTGTTTATGTCGTTCTTTTCGTTTTTAGTGGGTGCCTGAGACACTGAAAATTAATTTGCAGAATATGAAGCGTCTCCAGTAGCCTTTCTGCTTTATTTGGCTGTTTCTCGAATAGTTCATTTTAAGGGAACGCTTGCCTTTCGAGATGAGGTAACGGAGTCGAGCGCATTTCCATGACACCTAATAGCGGTTCGGCCTGACGCTAGGTTAGCCTGCCAGCTGCCGACTAACCTTCTCAAAGCAGCACAGAAACAAAGAAAAAAAGCATTTTGTGACCAAAATAACAATGGCTAACTACTACGACAATGGCAACAACACACTATTCAATCCATCGACGCCCATAAAGCTACAATATATACGTATACGTTTGGGGTTTATTGATGCGATGTTCATGCAAACTGACCGCAGCTGTCATCGACTCTAGCGACCATCAGCCTTTTATAATTTTTTTCATGTTCGACTCTGCCCTGTTATCATTATTATTGGTGTTATAATAGATTCCAGTGGCTTGACCGGCCATCGTAATCTTATCCTTCTCAAGTAGTATTTACACCGCTTCGCCCGAGACAAGCGTCATTATCGAAATCAACTAACGTCTACTTTCAGTCAAAGAGAAGTGTTATTTGTAGTCACGCATTTTAACGTTTTTTTCATCTGCGCTATGCCGGGTTTTCTTTCTACGCTATTGTGTGGTAACATCGACGGTCGTTGTTGTTGTTCACAACAACAGTTAACTACTAAGGAACTGCATTCTGAGATAAAGCGAGTCTGGCTTTTATAGGGAAATCGTCACCCCAGTCACCTGTTGCGTTGTATTCTACCCGCCAGCGTGGCCGCCGCCGCCGCCGCCGCTGCTGTTGTTGTTGTCGGCGCACGTCAGCGGGGTGTTTATTCGATGACGGCGGAGGTATGGTGCTATTGTTCAACCCTCGTAGTTGAGATCTGATAGCGTTTCGTGTCATGGGACAATAAAAGATCTGCCGCAGCTGCTGTTATGTTAGTTGTCAAATGTTAATAATGTAATAGTAGCATTCTAATAAACGCTTCGTGAGACGGACGACCACGCTGCTGGTGGAAATGCTATCGACTCACTTTATTTGTAAAACAAAATCTCGCAGCGCCGCAGAATGGAGTTATTAGAGAAATTTAAGCCAGGGATCCCATTTGTGCTTGCATATGATAAGCTCGAAAAATTGTTTTTTTCACTAGGAAAAATACGTTCGGTAAACTGCATTATGTTCTCCTGATTAACATTTTCGTATCTGTTTCTTTCATTCAGATGAGCGTGAATGCCCGTTTGTGACATTACAAACAAACGAGAGTGGCATCTCATTTCGATTTTAATTAAAATTATATATAATGCTTTTATATACGAGTGTTGCGTTAAGACTTCCATGTGTCCACTGCCTGAAATACCTAGGAAAATGCTACGTGCAGTGCTGCTACATTGAGCTAGATTTAACCAACTGAAGCAATAGATCAGAGTGGCGAAGTATTTTTTTATGATTTCTCAGTGTGTTTACGCGTGTCTTACATATATAATTGATGAGAAGATTCGTACCCGTATGAATTTTCGCTCTGTTATGTTCGTATATTTTCAATAACGAAAACATTTACACGAGAAGATTGTCTGCCCTATACACGTCTACAAAAACCTGCTACCTGTTATTGAACCCGCACAAAAACTGCTTGATGGACTAGACCTAACGTGGCCTTTCCGAGACAAAGCAGCACACGGTCTCTCCTTCTGTGGCTTTTTAAATTGTGTAGTGTGTGTGTGTGTGTATTTACATTGACGTCGTTCAGTGCATATTATTACAATGGACAGTGTTATCATTCATAAGCCATTTTTCCACTAGTGAATGAACAGCTTCTAGTTATCGCCGGATTAGCTAAATGATGCTCGTGCGTCTTTGATGGGAGCATTTAAAATAGCCCTAATCATTTCAGTGACTCATTGACATTACTTTGATGACGGCCGTTACGTTACGTTGCACCCACCGTAAGAGCAGCTGACACAAGAGATACTAGGGAGACCTTTGGCGTCGAGTGACATTATGGTCAGTAGTAACAGAGGCAGGCTAAACTAATAGTTATAGCATTGGTACGTTGTGTATCAACGCCAAGTATACTATCGTGATCGATTATGAATGGTAAGATATAAGGTCGGGAGATGCGGGTTCGTCACAGACTTGTAAGACATCGTGTTCACGCAGCGCGACCAGCAGCAGTAAGCTCGAAAGGAAAATATTGCATACACTTTGATCATTTCGATTAGTAGTCTAGTATACAGTGAGAGCTACGTTCCATATACTAATATATAGATATGCACACCATTTGACAGTAAATTTAAGTAAAAAAAAGTCAGATGAATACAATGGTGGGCGTACAGGGGAACACGAGAGAAGGAAGCTGACGTGGTACTCTCCTTCAACAATAATAGACATTAATAAAATGAAAGACTGTGCGAGCAAGCGTACGAAGCAAAATAATCGATTAACTTAATAATTAAAAATAACTTTACCCGCTCTCCTGTTCTGGTCCAATTTGGATCTAAGCCGGTAACGTTCGCATACCCACCATTGGCCGCTGGGCTTCGTTGGTAAACCCCCGTCGTTGCTGTCTCCACTCTGCAGCTGCAAAATCTACTCAGGTTACCGGCATTGCTATTGTTACCGCAGCTGTTGTCGTCCGTTCGCTGGTGTTTGTGTTGATTAGTCGTTAGTGGAGCAATGAGTGCCACATCGCCTTATTCTGAACGATGGGACTTCTCACTAGCCACTGGACGTGTGCAAGGGCATGGCGGTGATGGGCCCCACGGAAGTTCACGTCGACGACCCGTCTCGCCCATATTTGATGTGGTGTCCGTAACCGGTTAACAGCAGTTTGGTTTGTTTAGTCAACGTCGGAAGAAAAATCGCGGCGGCCGTTCCGCTAACGATCATCAACGACGGTGGCCCAGTGACACCATGGACAGCAACGAGCACGTGAGCACCAATGTTTCGCGTCGGCTGTAGGTAACGCGAGTGAGGGCCCAGTGGTAAACTGAAGAGGAAAAACAGAACTGTTGGCTTGCAGGCGGCATTTTACATAACGCCATAGCATCTAGGCTAGAACAGTGACCTTTGTTGATGTATTAGTAGCTATGGAATCGTCACAAACAGTGATGGTTATTTGATGGTTGTTTTTACTCGCTCCGCTGCTGATAATTGCAGAGAAGTAAATTCAAATACTTCATTTCGTTTAGTGATCGCTTACTGGATGCCAAGTGGTATGTCGCTGAGACCCCTTATAATGGTATTATACTGATATATAATGAAATTGGCCCTGCGTTTTATGCTCGTGCTACACAAAGCAGTTATATACCTCTAGGTGATTGTATAAAGCTAACTGTGGACGATATGCGTAGACGCTGGATACGTAAACGTTGTTCGCGTGTGTGTTTGTTAGATTAAAAACATTGCTTGTCTCTGTTACCTATGGTAATCGTTTTAACACGTTGCTTAATTTCTATTTACTTAGGAAAGTATTACTTTTTACAAGTGTTGTGCCCTACGATAGATCTGATTGCTGATATCCCATGGCCCAATAGACAGAGCGCTGGCTCAACAAAGTAAAGCTGCTGGGTCTGAGTCATTATCGATTCATATCAAATTGTAACAGTAAGTTATATCTTCCGAATGTTAATAGAATACTGACGATATCCGCCATTAAAACTCGTCGGGTCATTTGGAATCGTTTTTTCAGGACTTCAGAATACACTAAACAAATCCAGATCAACAAATAGCACTAAGAGAGATTTAAAGTCAAAGTTTGTGCATAGCATTATTCGTAAAAAAAAACGTGTGTACGTATTTCTGCCCGCCGCTCTTTTGCTCATAATAATTCTCAAGTACGAGTTGCCGTATCGCTCTTAAGTAGCTTCGTAACGAAAACGCGATAACGGGATTTATTTCTCTTGACTAAATTGCTATGTTTTTTATATGCATAGGCGTCTTCGATGATCATCTAATGATATGTTTAATGTTCCGCTGTGCTCTTAGATCAATCAAAACAAGAACTGAAAAGAAAAAAAATCATTATCCGTTGCCCATGGTCGAAATCGACTTGAACAATTGATTGATTGATTGATTGATTGGTTGATGCGATTAACTCTGGAACTACGCTAGGGCGATACCAGCCACAACTGATCGGTTTTGTGGTCAGCTGGTTAGCATGAAACGCACCCGTGTATACAAAATACTCATGTTGATTTGGCAATACAGAGGCTGCCGCCATAGCTATTGTTACTGAAATGGTGATTGATATCCGTTGAGCGACCCTTGTCCGTTGATAAGCTTTGATCAATCAACTAATCGGCAGCTAGGTAAGAATTTATGGCGATCGAACTGCTTCGTATTGTCATCGCGTTAACTTTTCGTTTTACTATTGAGGTCGCTTTGTTTTCTGTGGTTAAAAATTGATATTGGTACTGCAACTACGATAACCGCGTCTGCGTTTACTGCACTTCCGCCTCGTCAAGCATCACCGTGTTGAATGAACTGCTACCACCACAACAACAACAGCAACGACTATAGTTTCAGTAACTGGCATTATGCTTAAACGCTTCAACAAACTGAAGCTTCGAAACCAATTTTTCAGTGCCTTCAAGCGTCTTCTAATTTACGGAACGGACGTGGCGCGCCATTGTAGTCAGCCGACGCCATTGATGTTGTTGTGTAACATGGGCGTCTCCACCTGTCATCGCTCACCTGCTACCATTTTTTTCGCTGATGCCACTACTGCACTACTGATGCCCCGTCACCAACGGCTTCATGAAACCAATCAATGATACTCTATGAAGTGCTACCAAATATGGAGATCCGGTACACCTTCGCGCGCAATAGACGAAGTATATAGTTAGCTATTAATATGGCTCGAAACAACGGAAAAAGCCTGCTCGTGTCATGTAATAATCACTTAATTGTTATCACAGCGGTGCGACAATCAGCGTCTTCATTGCCGTGGCATCATAACCACAATTTTTAAGCCTTAATGTTTGCCCCGTCCATTGTTTTTAGATGCCGCTCATCGATGTTCGCCACAACGATGACAAGAATGTTTGACTTTAAGATGCAAATAATCACACGCAGCGTCTTGAGAGCAGAGAAGATCATGCAGCGAGAGATAACGCAATGCTATGGAACAAACAGCCCGAGAGCAACGTCGTAATTGCCACCGTCAGATAGACACTACGTAGAAATAAATGGGCAGCATCGGATTAACGTGGGTTTACTTCAACCGATAGAAACCAATTGAAGAATAGCGAATATATCGATAGAGAAAACAAAAGCAACAACCATGCATAGGACAGGCGACAAAGATAGCTTATCAGCATATATATATATATATTATATAATATTCGTATTACTGAAGAGATCAGTGTGACCGAATGGCGTGACTAATGTATTACCGATACTAGAACATTTTGTGTTTCTGCTATAATGTTACTAGTCATACAAATTTTTAATGATTTGTTTTTATTAAGCGATGATCGATGACAGCCATTGGCCGACAGATGGCGAATGAAGTGATCAGTGATTACGGTGCCATAGACCTAACATACGCGTGTCCTACATAGTTTAAAAGGGCTCTCCTTCGAACAACTGTGATAAATAGTATAACGAAGAATAAAAACACACACAGTAATAACAATGTATAGAAACGGTTGTATTAACTCGTGCACCAGCTTAGCTATTGCTCAAATGTGGATAAATATTAGATTGACTCCATTTGCTTCGGGACACCGAAAGCAGTCTTTCAACGTTTGTCACCTGTCAACAAAAATTCCCGAACTTCCCTTTCAACATTAACTTACTTAACGTATGATACACGTTTTATTGACTTTAGTGAAAACCTCCACAGCCACGATCAACGGCTTAGTCGAAATTTTGTGTTCCATCGTAAATTGTTCCATTTATTAATTACCGTCCCTCCTTCCAGGTGGGCAGATGTTATTAAGACAGCTGGCTAGAACGCTGAAATATTTGATGACCTCGCTATTATGCATCGTTATTTTTGTCATTAACGAACGCTGGCTGTATAAATACTATGTAGTTCACCGTAAATCAGTTCTGAGTCACTTTTGCCGTTACTACAAACACAGTCGTTGCAAAATTATAATAACAATAATAATAAAAGTGACAATCATTCTGTGTACGTGCTTTGTACGGTGCATACGTACATACCTTCATTTTGAACCAAACTAAGCGAAAGAGAAGCAGACGGAAAAACGATAAAAAAAAAGTTCGACCATGCGAAACAAGCACAGAAATTTCGCTCAGGCAGAAACGACCCAATAGGGAAAAGCGCTTGGCCAATGAAAAAGGGGCAGGCGGGTCAGTGGTTAGCGCAACGGCGTAACCCAGCACATTCATACAGCGGAATGCCAAAAAGTAACGCGTGGCAAGATCGAGCGTCATCGCTGGCGATTGTTAATGAGTTCACAGCTAAATAAATTTAACTAATTCAACAGCGCCCACCACCGCCGCCCCGAAATCGCTGCCAGAAGCGATCAAAGCTACTGCCGCAGCAAAACCAGCGAGACAACAATTGACGATTCTGATGACGACGACGGCCAAAATAATTAGAATAAATAGAATGTTTACGTATTTTTTTCGCCAGCTTTCGTATATACACGCATCTGTCTACGCGCATACAATGGATGTTGTACGTCCGGAAATGGTTGTGTGTCGAGTCAGATCGGCCGCAGTTAAAATCGCCGTCGACTGGGTTTGTCTGTTTGTTTATCTTTTTGTCTGATAGACGCGTGTACCGTTAAAACAGGAACAGCGCTAGATCAACAGGCGGTTTGGTACACACCATAAACACTTCCAGCTTTTTATCGGGCACTGCTTCTATTAAGCATGGTTCGTTCCAATGGGCGGTTGACCCCGCCCACCACAGAACTAGGGCTAGACAGTTACATATGTCCCTAAGTTAAGTAGGCGTATAGCTCGCCAGCGCACTTTAACGGAGGCCAGGTTAGCAATCTGCCCACAATACAGGTAGGCCATTTATCACTTGTTGATGTGATCGGCGCATTCACAGTTATCAAGCTGCTAGCGGAACTTGTGCAGCCTATAACCGTACACGAATAAAAGGCAAATTCTTCAAAGAACACTTTGCACACAAACGTGGACGACCTGTGATGCGGAATAGAAGAAATGATAAGATTATATCATAGCCAGCGTAGTTTCCGCTTCGGAATTGGCCTAGGGCAAATTTTTCCGTTAAATAATGTTATCAGCCATCATCGTCGCTGGCTCCTGTTTAGCTGCTAACAATTTCTCGTGAATAGTTAGAGTTGTTTTCCAGCGGCACAGGATGTCGAATACGACCTTGTGTCGTTAATCGTCGTCGTCCGGATTACACTGTAATCGTTGTTGGCTGCTCATTAGCGTAGCCAATAGGGAGCCATTGTAGAAGCCACAGATGTTTTGGGTACCCACTGCAGTGACGGCGACTCCAGCGGCGGAGTAGTGTGGGAGGCGTGTGCTTTTGGCCGAGGGGCTCGAAGTCGGTATCTGATAAATAACGTCTACGTACAATAATATATCGCAGTCATCAACGGACAAATCGATCCTGTTAGAGAACAGATGAACGTAATTAGAAGCAAAACAGAATAGAATGTCTACAAGAAAAGGTGATGGCTTTCATGTGCCGCTTGCTGATATTAGGCACTATTGTCTGTTAACAGGGTTAGCCAGTAGCTAGCTGAATCGATTATTATATGTACAAATGAATAGGACGCCTCGGTGGAATAACAATAGAAATACGACACATCTAGCTTAGATGCGGAATCGAGAAACCACTATATTTGATACAGAGGCTTATACACACACACAGACCCCCTGTCTTATATGTCTTGTATTGAAAAAAATTGTATATATTGAATATATATACACAATTTTTATATTGAAAAAAAAAAGAAAGGATTTGAGCAATC